AAAAAAAATTGAAAAACCAAACACCAAAAAATTCAAAAAATATATAAAATTTTAAAAATTGAAAAAATAAAATTTCGAAAAATTCAAACATCGATAAATCGAACAATTAAGAAATTGAACATTTTAAAGTGGAAAAATAGAAAAATGGAAAAATCGAAATATCGGAACATCGAAATCTCGATAAATCGAAAAATTGCAGAATCCAAATATCGAAGAATCGAAATATTTAAAATTTCTAAACTGAAATATCAAAAAATGGAAAAATTGAAGAAAAATTTAGATACCGAAAAATTGTGAAATCGAAAAGTCGGAAAATCGAGGTCGAAATATCGAAAAATGGAAAATTCAAAAACTTGAAAAATCAATAAAAGTGAAAAAACTACAAAAGTGAAGAATTGTAAAACCAAAAAATTGAAAAATCGAGCTCAAAACATCAAAAAATTGGAGAATTGAAAACTGGAAAAGCTAAAATTCCAGACTCAAAGAACAGAAAAAACGAAACGCCCAAAATCAAGAAATCGAAAATTTGAAAATTGAAAAATTTTCAATATAAAAAAATTGAAAGATGTTAAATTGTAAAAATCGATAAATCGAAAAATTCAAAAATCGAACAATCGGAAAACTGAACAATCGAAACATCGAAATCTTGATAAATCGAGAAATCAAAAAACTGAAAAATCGGAAAACTGAAAAACTGAAAATTTGCAAATTTTCTAAAATACAAAAATTGAAAAACTCAAAAATCTTAAAACCGAGAAGTCAAAAACGAAAAATCGAGAAATAGAAACAAAAAAGTTGAAAAACCTAAAACTTAGAAATTCGAAAAATTGAAATATAGAAATATTCAACAACTGAAAAATCGAAAAATATATAATTTTAAAAACTGAAAAAATAAAATATCGAAAAATTGAAACATCGCGAAATCGAAACATCGAAAAATTGGAAAATCGAAGAGCCGAAAAGGGGAAAAATTGTAACATCGCAAAATTGGAAACCGGAAACATCACATCAAGAAATCGAAAAAACAAGAATTATGGATTTCTCGATCTAAAAATTGAGATCTAGAAATAGCCCAAAATCGAAAAGTTGAAAGTTAAAAAATTGATAAACAGGGAAATTGAACAATCGAAATATCGAAACATCGAAATCTCGATAAATCCAGAAATCGAAAAATTGATGAATCGAAATATGAAAATCCCTAAACGGAAAAATCCCAAAACTGAAACATTGAAAAATTTACATTTCGAAAAATTGAGAAATCGAAAATCCGGAAAATCGAAGTCGAAAAATCGAAAAATTGAACAAAAATCAATAAAACTGAAAAGTCAAAAAATTGATGAATTGAAAAACTAAAAAATCGAGAAATCGAGAAATCGAAAATCGAGAAGTCGAAAGAGCAAAAAATTAGGAAATAGAAATAGCCCAAAAGAGAAAAGTTAAAAATTGGAAAATTGACATCGAAGAACTGAAAAATTGAGGAATCGAGAAATCGAAAAATCTAAATTTTAAAAAATTGAAAAACTAAAATATTGAAAAATTTAAAAATCAGAAATAAAAATCGAGAAATCAAAACATCAAAAAATCGAAGAAATGAGAACTGGAAAAGCTAAAATTTCAGAATCGAAGAACAAAGAAAACGAATTAGCCGAAAATCGAGAAATCGAAAATCTGAAAATCGAAAAATTTTAAATTTAAAAAAATTGAAAGATTTTAAATTCTAAAGACTCGATAAATCGAAAAACTCAGAAATCGAAAAATCGAAAAACTGAACAACGGAAAGACCGGAACATCGAAGAAATCGAAAAATCGAAAAACTGAAAAACCGAAAAGTTAATAAAATTTTTAAATTAGAAAAATTTAAAAACAGAAGAATCTAAAACCAACAAGTCGAAAAATAAAAAGACCGAGAAATCTACAAATTAAAAATTCGAAAAATTGAAAAATAGAAATATCGAAGAACTGAAAAATCGAAAAATAATTTTAAAAATTGACAAATGAAAAAATTAAAAAATCGAGAGAACGAAACAACAAATAATCGGAAGATTGAAAAACTAAAAGTATAAAAACTGAAGAATCGAAATATCGAAAAATCCCAAAACTGAAACACCAAATAACTGAAAAATCGAAGAAAAATTGAAGAATTGAAAAACTTAAAAACCCCAAAACTGACACATCGCAAAATTTAGATATCGAAAAAATGTCGAAAATCAAAGTCTTAAAGTCGAAAATTTAATAAATCGAAAAATTTAAATATCAAAAACCTGAAAATTGAAGAATTGAAAAACTGAAAAATCGAGAAGTAGAGAAATTGAAACATTGAAAAGTCGAAAAATCAAACAATCGACTGAAAAACTAAAAAATCGAAAAATTGTTAGATAATATCTAGAACTTTGTTTTTTTTTTTTCAAAAATCTCGATGTCTAGGACAAAAATTCAACAAGGATTCATAAACCACAATTTCAGGACAATGCCACTTTTAACATTTAAATAACAGTTTTTAGACAAAATCGCAAGATGACATCAATTCCTGTGGGGCGGGACGTAGTATAAACGGATAAATGTTGGTGAACAATTTAGCATGGTTTAGATAATCCTAAAACGTTCGCAAGATTTCAAAGCATTCGATTTTGAAATTTCGAAGTTAAATTGTGAAATGTTATACAATTTTGATTTTTTTTTTTTTTTTTAATAAAAATTGAGACAGACGGAAACGGGAGACCTACTTTTTCATACTCTAGGGGTCACTTTTGGAGATTATCTTACACATTCCTGGGGAAGAAATTTTTGTACAAAGTACAATTAAAATAACATTACTACACTCTTCCTTATCTACTTTTAAACGAAGAACCATGGGTTAAAGTTGTTTATAAACAAAAACGTTATCGCTCGGCATAATAAATTACGAAATTGTGGCAATTAAAACGAAAACTTGTTTAAATTAATGCGATTTGAAAGTAGTTCGAAGAAGTGGTGAAAACAATGAAGAGACTAATATTAGTGCTAACGACTTTTCTAGGAATTATGCATAGTCTTTTTTTTCTATTATAACAGCCCTACTAGCAGCCAAAAAACGACACCACATCAAAAAGGATCAACAACATCTAGAAACCTTACTTGTTTGTCAATTTGTCATCACTCATCACATACTGACATTTACAAAAATTTCGTATCGTGTCCATTCCAAATTTCTGCCAAATTATAAGTAAACAGTACAACGTCTGCTGAAACTTAAATACAATTGTATGTCTCTACAATGAACCTAGTTGTGATACTCTGCGATTTAGAAGGACCGGAAGAAACGAGTAAAGAACCGAGCCAAGACGGGACGAAAGAACAGGCCCTAAATGGGACGCAAGAACCGACCAAGTGTTATTTTTGTATACGCTCGTGTCAAAAACCCATGGAAATACAAAATTGTACCACACACGAAAGCTATACCCGCGCATGCGTAATGCAACAGATATTCTTCCGTAAATATAATAATTGTACACTTACTGTGTTAGTAATTGAACTACTTTTAGGTGGTAGGGTAGACGAAGCAAGACGCTGCGTTACCACCAGGGAATTTCACCAACAATTTTGCGTCAACAGCACCAAGGAGAAGTGTTACATATGCTATACGGATTTGTGTAATTCGGTGGGAATTTTGACAAGAGGGAGTTCGCCAAAAATGCATTCGTTGTCATATACCCTTTACGGTCTTCCTTTGGCTATTATTTTAATAAAATTTCACTACTAGAAACAAAATTATTCTTGATGTTGGGTTCATTTACGTCTAGTGTGAATGCTGAATTATAACGCTGAATCGAGGTTATGCCATTGAAAAGTGTCTAATGACTCTTTATAAGGGCCCTAAAACACCTTAAGAGATTGCTTTTAATAATCTTTGGAAACGGGAAAGTCGCTTCGGGCAATTAAGGCAACGCTTTCCCATTTTACAGAATACCATTAGACTATAATTAAAATCAGTTCCAGCACAATCGTTGCGTGTTTCATCCTTCACAATGTATCTAAATATTTAAAAGATGATACAAAATACGAACACCATCCTTGGAAACAACTAATCGATCTCCAGTTCGAATATCCGTCATTCTTTTTTTCCGCGAACGCACCATTCATAATCCTCGACATACCTGCTCGTGCAAAATTATTCACCCCAAGCCTAAACAATCCCCGGCCCCAGAAAAATGCATCAACCTCCTCGCACTTTCCCCGCTTTCAGCACGTACCGCAAACTTTGCTTATTCACGTCAAATGCGTCAATTGCACAAATATTTCCAAACCGCTCCAGCCACCCCTTCCCGGCAATGAATTTCCAGCTTGAGCCCAGCCAGAGGCCGGCGTTCGTGAAAAGAATTTATAAATAGTAACCCGAACTATTTTTTCCGAATTTCCTAAATTGTCCGCCTAAACCCAACGCCGAATTGAAAATAAAATATAAACTAAAATAATCCCAAAAAGAGGTTTTCTTTGCCAGAAAGACCCCATGTTTATTTAACAAACCTTCTGCTTCACGGATCGCCGAACTCGTATTTATGCGCCGGTTCGAACTCGAATAATTGCCGAAAAATACGGCGCTCGAGCTTTTCTGGAAATGTTGGAGGCGTTGCTACAATAAAATTTCGCGCCGAACACGGAGTGCGTTAATGGTAATAATTCGTGGAAGTTTGATGGCGCTTGACACGGTCGTGTTATAGCAGAATGAAAATGCAAATGGGGCTTATTAACATGTTCTATTCGCTATCGGGGGAACTAACGCATCGAGGAGATCGTGATCGACTTGAATATGCAGGAGAGTAATAAAATATCGAACTACGGCGAAATTCGACGGGTGTGCGCTAAATGGATGAAGACTTCCGAGTATTTACTTGCACTAGTGTGTTAAGGAAAAAACCCAGTTATTTATAAATCAATGTCACGACCTTTCCAATTATTTGTTTATCGGGCTTATTGTATGTATGGTGTTTACGCCTCCGCTCGTTTTTATATAAGAACGACCGTGAAGACACCGGTTTGAGTTTGCTTTTTGAAGTCGTGGAAACAGTGCTGTGAAGATGAGAATAATCGAGACCTTTTTGTTGTTGCTCGTTGTTTCCTATGCGAAACCTGAAGACGAGTGCAACGCCCACAATAATTCTTGCAATGATTGCATCCGCAAATTGGGATGTTCCTGGTTTGTGAAACACACCACTGTAAGTAGTTTCAACATAAAAAAAAAAATACACAATTTCGAAATTGTTAGGAACTGGACCACAGTAATTGCTTCACTAACACCAACGTTAGCAGCTACCAAGCAAGCGCCTACAACCCCGGAAGTTCAATCAATGTAATAGAAAATTTGCCCCTTGACGACAAAATTTTGGTGGCGCCACAAAAGTTATCGGCGCACCTTCGACTACGTAAGTGTTTTATTATAAAACTAACAAAAAACTACTTTGGTATTTGTAGATTCACCAGTGTTGTTTAAAGTCCGGTTTGCTTCCAAAGACGAATCTCTAGTGACTCCCCACGACCAGAACATAATTGTCCAACTGTTACGTACGAAGCCCGATTTTGTCATCGTTCATTTGGAAGCTTTACGCTGTCCACAAGATGCCAAGAATTTTCGACAAACGCTGACTCTGCCTACGACGCAAACCCAGCAAAAGGTGACCGTGGATTTGCATTTTAATTGTGAATGCCCGTTTTAATTTTTTTTGGAATGGAAGCTGACCAGAAATAAAAATAAAGTTTCAAAGCAGTTGAAGGGCGATCCCGAAAACCCCAAATTTCCCTATTTAATCCAACAGTTAAGAAGAATCGAAATATGAGCTCTGGAATTTCACACCATTTTTTGGATTCTGGTTGTCGAAATTTATTTTCCGGATTTTTTCGAGCATTTTTGGACAAGGTCGCCAAAAACACAATTTTTCAATTTCAATATAAATTTTTTTACTTTTTTCTGTGTACCTTCTAAAGTTGCCCAAATAATTTCTTTGGTTAACTTCGATCTGCAGAATTTTATGATGGTTTCATTTTTGCGAAAACACCTACCGTTTTTCCAAAATGGCCAAAATGAAAGGAGACAAAGTTGGAACTAATTTCAAAAATTTGAAGTTGAACCCGAATATTTTGAAAACGCGCTATTGTATCAACTTGGAATTATTTTCCCTAATAGACGTATCATTCCTGCGCAAAGACAATTTTTTTCAAAATTTTAGAACACCCAGGTTTCTCGGAGCGGCACTAAATGCGTTTTATGAAAATTTTGAGTTTTTTCGAGTAGCGTCGAATATTATCTGAAAAGAATTTTTGCAGATTTCGATTTCTAGATTTTATTTTTGGTCTGATTTCAAAAAAAAATTCGTAAAATTTTTTCAAAAGCTCAGTTTTTCAATTTGAAATCTGATGGAATTTTTTACTTTTTTCGAGCACCGTCGACAATTCTCTAAACGAATTTTTTACGGATTTCGACTTTCAAGATTTATTTTCAATTTCATTTCATCCAAAAATTATGTCATTTTTTCAAATCGAAAAATAAAATATAGCAATTTTTAAAATATGTACCTTATAAATTTGACTTTGAAAACGAATACCTCGAAAATGTTCGTTCAGGACCATCTACAAGCTATGTTTTTTTAATTAGTTGTTCGAGATCTATATCCCAGTATTTTTGATGGGTTTTTAGGTAACTTTTCCAAAAATCCAATTTCTCAATATGAAAGATTTTCCTTTTTCCAAGCACCTTGGGAAAATGTCTAAAAGGAGTTTTTGCAGATGTCAAGCTCCAAAATTTTCTTTGTGCTTCATTTCTTTCAAATTTCTATTATTTTTCAGGAATCCCCAAAATTAAATATGCCACTTTTTAGATTTCTTTAAAAATTTGACTTTGGAAACGGATACCTCGAAGATCTTCATCCAAGACCGGTCACATGCTGTTTTTCGAATTATCTTGTCAAAATTTTCCACGATTTTTGGTGAATTTTTAGGCAACTTTTCTAAAAGCTCAATTTTTCAAAATGAAATTTAATCAAAATTTTTAATTTTTTCAAAAAAATAATAAAAAAATTATGTTCAAACAAAACTATAATTAACAAGTAAAAAGGAAACCAAAAATTATCTCAATTGTGATGAATTATATATGGTAATTTCTTGTAGAGAAATGAGGATTTTGTAACGAAACTCCACCCGTCAGCTCACATTCATCAGAATTGAGAAGGGGTGGGTGGGCGGGGCTTATATTTGGTTCGTTTTTCTTAATACACGAAGTTTTCTTTTCCCAACAAGAAACTGACAAAATATCGTGTTGTTGAAAGAAAACTGTATATATATAAAAAAAAAATAAGCCCCACCCACCCGCCCTGATCTCAACTGTGATGAATTTTTCATTCATTGTTACACCGAAGGGCGGAGCTTAATTGCAAAATCCACATTTCCGTGCAAAAATTTGTTATTTTAAACAGGTTTTAAGTTTCTTGTAGTGAAAAAACTACTAATATTAAGGAAAAAATAACAAAATATTTGCCCCGCCCACTCACCCTGTCTCAATTGTGATGCATTTTTCATTCGTTCTCACACCGAGGGGTCAGAGCTTAACTGCAAAATTCTTATTTTTCTATAAGAAATTACCATCTGAAACACGTTCTTCAAAAATTATATTCAAAGAAAACTATAATTATCAAGTAAAAAGGAAACCAAAAATTAAGCCCCACCCACCCGCGCTAATTTCAATTGTGACGAATTTCTTATGCTAATTTCTTGTAAAGAAATGAGGATTTTGCAACTAAACTCCGCCTTTCTGCACACTATGAATTAAACATTCATCACAATTGAGAAGGGGTGGGTGGGCGGGGCTTATATTTTGTCCGTTTTTTCTTAAAACACGAAGTTTTATTTTGCCAACAAGAAAGTGAAAACATGTTTAACTATTCTGTTGTTGAAAGAAAACTCTATGTATTAAAAAAAAAACAAAAATTAAGCCCCACCCATCCGCCCCGATCTCAATTGTGATTAATTTTTCATTCATTGTTACACCGAAGGGCGGAGCTTAATTGCAAAATCCACATTTCCGTGCAAAAATTTGTTATTTTAAACAGGTTTTAAGTTTCTTGTAGTGAAAAAACTACTTATATTAAGAAAAACAAATACAAAATATATGCCCCGCCCACCCACCCTATCTCAATTGTGATGAATTTTTCATTCGGTCTCACACCGAGGGGCCAGAGCTTAACTGCAAAATTCTTATTTTTCTATAAGAAATTACCATCTGAAACACGTTCTTAAAAAATTATGTTCAAACAAAACTATAATTAACAAGTAAAAAGGAAACCAAAAATTATCTCAATTGTGATGAGTTTCATATGGTAATTTCTTGTAGAGAAATGAGGATTTTGTAACGAAACTCCACCCGTCAGCTCACAGTCATCAGAATTGAGAAGGGGTGGGTGGGCGGGGCTTATATTTAGTCCGTTTTTTCTTAATACACGAAGTTTTCTTTTTCCAACAAGAAACTGAAAACACGTTTAATTATCCTGTTGTTGAAAGAAAACTCTATATATTAAAAAAAAAAAAACAAAAATTAAGCCCTGCCCACCCGCCCGATCTCAATTGTGATTAATTTTTCATTCATTGTTAAACCGTAGGGCGGAGCTTAAGTGCAAAATTCTTATTTTTCTATAAGAAATTACCATCTGAAACACGTTTTAAGTTTCTTGTAGTGCAAAAACTCCTTATATTAAGAAAAAAATAATTTTACCGTTGAATGTTATCGACGATTTTTGAAGCATTTCGACCTCTAGAATTTATTTTTGAGAAAATTCGTACCTTTTTCAGGAATCACCAAGTGCATTTTTTTTAATAATTTAAAAATTTGGACACTAAAACTGATACATAGTATTTTATGTTTTACAATTATCCTTCCCTCGCGCTCAAGACGAATAGAAAAAAAATCATCACAATTGAGACAATTCTTAACAAATGCCTTCTTTTTACAACAAGAAACTTTAACAATATCACATTTGAGATGGGGGTGGGTGAGCGGGGGTTATCTACAATTAACCTGTTTTTTTCTTAGTATACGTACTTTTCTTTCCCGACAGGAAACTGAAAACAAGTTTAAAATGGTTTAAAACGGTAATTTTTATACAGAAATGTGGATTTCGCAATTAAGCTCCGCCTCTCAATCTGACAACGAATGAAAAATTCATCATAATTGAGATGCGAGCGGGTGTAGATAGTTTTCAACACGATGACTTAAGAGCATGTTTCACATGGTAATTTCTTGTGGAAAAATAATGATTTTTACAATTAAGCTCCGCCCCACGACGGATAGAAAAAAATCATCACAATTAAGAGAGGGTGGGTGGGCGGGGCTTGTATTTTGTATGTTATTTCTTAATATACGGGGCCTTCTTTTGGGAACAAAAAACTGAAAACATGTTCAAAATGTTCTACATTTTCGTTAAGCTCCGCCCCTCGGTCTGACGACCAATGAAAAATTCATCACAAGTAAGATTGGGACTGGTGGGTGGGGCTTAATCTTTGACTTTCTTTCTTAATATTTTTGCACAGTAAATGCGTAGTCTACAACTTCCAAAATTATATTTTCTAATCAGTTGATTGACAGGCAGATTTGCACCTTATTCCCGATATTTTCTGGTAATCTGATAGCGCTTAAGACGCTCTCTTAGTATAGGAGCGCGGTCAAAATCGATACACAACAGAGTATAAAATATCAAACTACAACGAATTTGACAGTTCGCGTCAACCCAACTCCAAGATTCTCCACTAATCACCCGCATTTGTGTATTAAGGAAAAATCCATGCCCCACTTTAAGTCATCAATGCCATCACCTTTCTAATCACCCATTGATTACGCTTAATGTACATTCATTTTCAGATCCACATTTTTTTAGACCGCCATCTGAAGCGTCAAAGCGCATCTCCTGCCCGATCAAGCAACTCCTCGCAACTAATTTATTTCGTCTCGCCTCCAACCATCTGCATCTCAAATCCAACACAAACAATAACAATAAACACGCTTAATCTCTGAACTTTAACACCGTAAACCTCGACTTAGTTCGGTCGAGCTAACCGCAGAATGTGGAACAAAATCGCAATAACCTTGTTAGTCCTGACCAAATTAAAACAGGTGCATTGTATCGACGATTGTTCATCGCTAAGAACCTGCCAGCAGTGCATGCATGCACCATCGTGCGGCTGGTACCTTCAGTATCGGGTAAGTAGCAACCAAATATAAATGTCCTCGATGAATCCAGACCCGTTGAGCAGTCGGTCAACGGTTCCGGGTGCTTCAAAAAGGACCGCCTGGACCTGGAACGAAGGGACGCAACCAAGGGCTACGTCCACCCTCCTAAAAGCAGCTTGTACGTCATAAGCAGTCGAGGGAATGAGGAGTTCGCGCCTCAGGCAGTCTTCCTGAATTTGAGACTAGGTAAACGGGAGCGCCTTTTCGAAATTTCTGGAAGCCCATTTCTCGTTTCAGGCGAGACTTTCGCCTTTCCCATAACCTTCAAACCGCAGCGCCCATCGTGGGGCAAACGGGCCGTCGAACTCCAACACAACTACCACAAACCCAGGATAAAGCTGGCGTTTTTCAGCGACTGCGGTGGTCAACACGAAGAGGCGATCGAAACCAGCAAGTGTGACAACGTCGAGGTAAAAGTCAAAACGATGTGATTTTTTGTCCACGCTTGTTTCTAGTTTGGTAAATCCGTGGAGTTTGTGGTCAAAGTCCAGCAAGTGGTTTGCGCGAAACGTCAACCCGAGAAGATCAAAACGGTAGAGATCAGCGCTGCCCCCAGTGGTGCCACCTTCCGGCTGAATTTGTACGTCCACTGCAACTGTCCTTGCGAGATGGAAGGCACGAAGGGCAATCCGGAACTACCCGAAGAAGTTCCGGGGTGTCGCGGCAGGGGCGAGTTCGTGTGCGGGGTGTGCTATTGCAACGAGGGGTGGGCGGGGGACAGTTGCGAAATTAACACGACGAACGTTATGACGTGATCAATAAATCAGTAGAAAACTATTGGTGTAGTTCCATGAAAACTCCCCCTCGTTCCGTCTGTCTGTCTGTCTAAATTTGAAATTGCACAAATTGCTCTGAAATGCACTCCGAAATAACCTTCGACGAATTTTTCTTTTCCAAAATCGCGGCGCCATAAACCCTCTGATGGCCCCTAAAATGCTAATGCGCTTTATCGCTTTTCAAAATTCTATTACAGCGAATAAAAGTTATATGGGCCATATTTTTCGAGTGCCTACCTTACAGGTTATTACGTGCCTTGATTTAGCTATAATAAATTCGGTTTTACAGCTTAAATCCGGCATCTAGCCGAAATTACAAGCAATAACTCGGTCCTAATATCTCCAAATTAATTATCCCGGCCGTCGAACGTCCTAAATCACCGAAAATGCGCGCGGGTTATTCTAAACGTTGATAATTTTCCAAAACATATTCCCGCTTTTTTATGGATCAATAAAGAAAAAAGTGTAAACACGTTATTTCGGTACGAAAGCGTTCGTTCGAAATAATGAATTATGGTCACAATTCCGGTAATATCCGGTCCTGGAGTCGACGGCGGTGGTTTGTTCACATCATTAAATATTCATAAAAGGACAATAAAATTTCTCTCGGAACTTTCCTGTGAAATTTTTAAGCGCCGCGCTGAAATGTCCATTAGCGATTTCGGCGATAAACGGGGCATTAGGAATGCGAGAGAATGTTTTGTTTTAAAGATAAATACGAAGGTGATCGTTTTGATTTATGCCGGGGGAGCGAAATATTGCCTGTATACTCTCATAATGAACCAATAAATTTCACATGAAGCTCAATCGCATTGCCTGCTGCTTTAATTAATAATTGAAGTTTTACGGTGGAAACATAAATGAGGCGATTTAAACAGGTGTCGTTTTAATTAATTACAACGTTGAGGTTGTATCTTGAGGTATGTTTATTTCCCGCTCCTCGGGCTGGAATTTAATTAGTACGTATTTCATAAATTGAATTGATAATGGCATGAGATGCACGCAGGCGGAACGAACGAATCACATTTTTTCAACTATCCCATTGTGAGATATTGATTGAGTAACGACACTGTTTTTTCGTCCCCCGACGAGAAAACTACTAAAAAGTGGCTCGATTTGCCGCCGAGATTAAAAAACGAAAACTTCGCGTGCTCGTTCCGTTTACTAAAATTTATTATTGCATGTTGAAATTATTGAATAAAAAGTTCAAAATCTCGCTACGTACTTAATTCGAATTAAAATTCAACCCCTACGATCGACTTGTAGTTCGCTTGCAGCTTTTCCGTTTCAACTTTTAACGAGTACGGAGGGTCGAGAAATGAAACTCAAAGGAATACTGCTGCAGTCGTAGATAAAAGTAAAAAGTTCCGGTGGCTTCGGCCAACTACTTGCAAGGATTCTTATTAAATCCTTAATTCCTTGTAGTCCTTTTAATCCAGCAGACAGTAAACGCCGCAATCCAGACACTGAATAAACAAAACTGGGAAAGTCGATGCTAACAAGAAAAAGCTCGTAGTGCTTATTTCATCCATACGCCACCACCAGTACAAGCGAATTTGGTCTCTAGTCAGACGTTTTAGTAAACATTTCTTTTCGTTTCAAAAGAAATCTTTTTTCAAAACCAAAATATCATGATTGCAAATTTTCTTCTAAGCTTTGTTTTCAAAAGTGTATATTGTTCCCTAAAAAAAATTTGTTTTTCGAATATGTGGCAAAATTTTAATAACTCTGACGACTTAGCAACAATAAACAATTTCTTATTTCAATTTGGTGAAACTTCAGAAATTATTTCTTCCAAATGTAATCGAATAGGCAGATTTGAACCCACTCGTGCTGCCCCACGCCCGATGAGGGTTAACCTAGAAAATGGTGAGCAAGTGGTAAAGCTTTTACGCGGGATAAGGAAAAATCGTAATATCATTAATGAAAATCAAATTTATAAAAATATTAGAGTGTCACTGGACAAAACACCAAAACAACGTAGTTACTACAAGAAAATCAGACAAGAATTACAAGAAAGAAAAAATGGGGGTGAGGAAGGTCTTATTATAAAATATATAAGGGGAATTCCGCGTGTTATGGTAGCGAACAAACGTTCCAATGACAGAGATTCAAATAATTTAAACAAGTAAGGCCCAACTTTTCTATATCACTATATTACCAAAATGTGCGTAGTATAAGAAATAAATCAAATGAATTTTTTAATGCCACGTTAGATTTAAGTTATGACATCATCGCCATATCTGAGACTTGGTTATGTAGTTCTATCTCAAATTCTGAAATTGTTTCTTCTCACCTATATAATATCTTTAGAAACGATCGTAATTATCAAGAGTTAAATATATCTAGAGGTGGTGGTGTCCTTTTAGCACTGCGATCTCACATAATTGCCGAAGTTGTTGACTTATCTCAATTACGTAATAGTATAGACATAATTGAAATTATAGGATGTAAATGTTGGCTTAAAAATTCGATATTTTATGTATTTGTTGTATATTTCTCAAGAACTCCAACATGTGATGATTTGATGGTATTTTGTAACTTTTTTGAGGAGTTTTTCAACAAAGAAGATAATATTTTGATCTTAGGAGACTTTAACATCCCCCAATTTATTCAAAATAATGACAATATCTTGGTACATACCCTCAATAATTTTTGTAGTTTTATGAATTTTATTCAATATAATTGTGTGAAAAACGCCTCAAATTACTGGATCTTGTATTTTCCAATGTCCATTGTCGGGTTGAACATGATTGCAGTCCTGTGGTTGCGGAAGACACCCATCACTCGGCTCTTTCGATTTTGATTGACTTCACTGTTGACAACTTTAGTAACTTCCCTTCCACTAGACCAAATGGTGTAAAACTGTACAATTTTAAGAGAGCTGATTATCCTTCTTTATATCAGGAATTATTAAATATAGATTGGTCCTTTCTAAATAATTGTGTTGATGTCGATAGTATGGTAGCTCAATTTTATAACGCCCTATATCATATTTTTGATAAGCATGTCCCAATTTATCCAAATAAATTCAATAAGATTCAGTTTCCGCCATGGTTCAATTCTGTGATTATCAATAACATTAAATTAAAAGGTTATTATCATAATAAATATAAGCAAACTAATGATAGCTCCTATTACGTCAAATTTAAACATTATCGTACTATTACTAAAAATCAAATATCTCTAGCTTATAAAGAATATCTGAATTCCATTCAAAATAATCTATCCCAGGACCCAAAAAAATTCTGGTCGTATGTAAAATCAATAAAAGGTCAAACACGCATACCCGGAAAAATGACTTTTAATAACGTTTCTTTAAATTCTCCAGAAGACATCGTCAACGCATTTACCACATTTTTTCAGTCGTCCTATGTTTGTTCTCAGAATTCAACAGATTTTCCAGTGCCTTCGTCTGATTATCTTTCTTTATCTATATCCAGTATTACTCACAATGACGTTTTAGTTGCTTTAAATAAAATCAAAAATTCTTTTACTGCTGGGCCTGACCAAATCCCAGGTTTTGTGATACATGATTGTAAAAATATTTTTGTTCAACCTTTATTAGCAATTTTTAATGTTGCCCTTACTACTGGTACATTCCCAAAAAAGTGGAAGACCTCTAAAGTCACACCAATCTTCAAATCAGGTAATAATGCTGAAATAGATAAATACCGTCCTATATCAATAATAAATAACTTTTCAAAAGTTTTTGAAGTTGTTCTGTATTCGTTTATCTATCCTCATGTTCGAAAATATATCTCTCCGCAGCAGCATGGATTTGTTGATGGGCGCTCAACGATAACCAATTTAGCTTGTTTTTCCCAATTTCTGACAGAAGCTATTGATAATGGGTATCAAGTAGACGTCATTTATACAGATTTTGCGAAAGCTTTTGATCGCCTTGATCACTTAATGTTATTATCTAAACTTCAGGTATATGGTCTCTGTGGCAATATTTTCAATTTACTTCACTCATATTTATCAGACAGATCGCAATATGTTTTTTATAATGGTCACTCTTCTCATATCTACGATGTCACATCAGGAGTTCCACAAGGAGCTAATCTTGGTCCGCTACTTTTCATTTTATTTGTGAATGATTTGCCTACCATTTTCAAGAGTCAGTCATTAATATACGCGGATGATGCTAAAATATATCACATTATTAGAACAACTGAGGATGCACATCAGCTTCAAAGTGATATGAATCAATTCAACAATTGGTGTTCCTTAAATAAAATTACCCTGAATGTCACTAAATGTAAAGTCATATCATTTACTCGTAAGAAAACATTACACAAATTTGATTATTCAGTAAATAATGAAATCATACCTCGATGTAATGTCATAAAAGATCTGGGAATCACATTTGATTCAGAACTTACATTTCAATGCCATATCAACAATATTGTTGCACGTTCGTTTTCTTTACTTGGGTTTATAATAAGGACATGTAAAAACTTCAATAATTTAAATACTATTAAGATATTATTCGAGGCATATGTTATCTCATGTCTGACGTATGGTTGTATAATTTGGAATCCATTATACCAATGCTACATAAATGTCATCGAGTCCATTCAAAGAAAATTCATGAAATACGTATGGTTTAGAAAATACGCTACTTATCCTGATAGAGGAATTGATAATGCTTTGCTGCTAAGTGAATTCAACATGTTATCATTAGTTAGCAGAAGAGAAGTTGCCATTACTTTATTTTTCTTTAAATTAATTCATTCAAGGATTGATTGTGCCGAGTTATTGGGAAAAATTTGCTTTCATGTTCCACGCTTAAATTGCAGAAGTGGTTTGCCTTTTTATGTACCTTTAGCTCGTACAAATATTTTAATGAAATCGCCTTTAAATATAATGTGTTTCCTTTTTAATAAGAACTTTAAGGCTTTGGATATCTTTTCACACAGTTTCAAACAATTCAAAACGAAGGTAATAGTTTTTTATTTTAATAGTAGTTAATTAAATTATTACACCTATTAGTTGTTGTTTCTACTAATTTGAATTTGTGTCAAATACTGTTTTTACTATTATTATTATTATTATTATTATTTAAAGTTGGTTTGTTATTTCTTTTGTTTTGTTATTCATTTATATATAAGCACACATTCTTTTATTTAACCTTCATGGAAAGTGTAGTTTATAGTTTCGGTTTTCTGTTTTTTTTTTTTGTCACACTCTAGAATAATATTAGGTTATTAGGTTATATTCATTCATTGCTCTGTAATTGGTTCGCTTGAACTGTTGGGCAATAAACTTATTATTATTATTATTATTATTATTATTATTAATAAAGACGTCGAAGAAATGAACTCATGAACCGGTCCAAAATCCATAATAACCCGAAAAAAGAGACAATTGGACGTCAAATAACCCAGTAACGGCGGATGGCCCGGATTTTATGGAACGTGACCCTCGATAATACTTTTTCACATAATATTCTGATAGGACGCAAGATTTAAAAATTATGGACGCTGCCCGCACGCTAGCCATAAACCCAATAGTGGCCATAACTTTTTTATTTTGATAGAGATATAAAAGTGATTTTCGAGAAGTGCGAGATATAACGAAGACACGAAGCCCGACTTCACGGTCCAGATTTAATTAATCCCCCTTATCCGACTGATTGCTCATTTAATTTAGTCGCGAGGGCGCAAAAAATCATTCTATTATCTCGAGACACAGCATGATTGATTAAAATTTTAAAACGGCTTGTTGGGGACCGCTCTATTTTTTAACGACCCACCTTGCAATAAGCCACTTTAACCTTTAACAAAATGTCCACGCCAAGTGGAAATTATAAAAAGCACTCGCTGAAAGCCTGTTATTTCGCTTTTCTTTGTTTGCTTTGACGGGAGTTATCTTCATCCGAGGAGATTCTGGGCGGTAGGATGGGAATTAATGGCTGTTGGTCGCCGCGAAAATCCGAAATTGATCGTTATTTGATGCAGTTAAATTGGATCCGAGTTAAACGGACGATATATTTGCATTTGGGGCGATTTAAAGTGGGATTAAGTGCAACCGGTGAGTGCACCGGTTCAGAATAGTGCAGCGATTAGGATAAATAAATCGCGGCTTAATGTTGCCGACACCTGTAACAGTAATTTGCGACAAAAGTGGAAAATAAATCCATAGTCAAAGCAGCTTGGACTGGTTAGAACCCTCTCCCCCTCTTACCTGCACGATTTCCAGGATATGTTGACATTTCTCCCTGACGTTGATGAAAGGACAACTAATTGATAACCTTAAAATGATAGGTAAATGTAGCGACACCAGGTCCAAATACTCCTTCGGGACGTCATTAACGGTATTCCCCACTAGATCCGAACACGCGCACCCGTTGGACGCGTTCTGCAACCTATGACCCATCCGATAGTGCTTGGGGCTGCCGACGCCGTCCAGCCACCCCTCGACCGTCTTCGATATCACGTCCAGGGCCACTTCCCGGATTTCGTTGTCGCGCGAACAGATCGGCATGCAAAACCGCGAGATCAGGTCCAGGTCGCGGAAGAGACCTTCGTAGTCGGATTCTACGTCGTGCGATCTACTTAGCTCGTTATTGTTATTTGATTTGTTAAATTCGGTTTGGACGAACATCGTTTTAAGGCAAATGAGTTAATCAAATCGGAAAAGAAAGACGCTGGGTCGAGTCGGATGGGGCTCCTGCGAGTAGGAACTGGCTAATACTAGGTAATACTGTAGATTTTGATTTGGGGGCGTCCGGGCGTGCAAGGGAGACCTGCGAACAAAAACAACAGTCAGCGAAATCGAACAGAAAACTTACTTGCTTAAATTAAGTAATTGTTTATGTACCGCTTCTTTCGAATCTTTGCCACTAGTTACAAAATGATCTTATTATATGGTCTTCCGGGATCCGGGAAGCCGTACCGGATTGTCCACTGCCTCCAGAACCTGTTCTGATAAGCTGGGGTTCATGGATTGAAGCGCCTATTTTGACATTTTTGAGGTCTAAAATTATAGTTGCGAATTTAAAATATCGCCACGTAACGTCGGTTTTGCTCCTTCGCAGGGTCCGAGAGCTCGACAATCGAATCACGGCCCTGGACCATTATCCACTTATCCCAAACTAGACTCACTACCGTCATTACGCAACATTAGCCGGTAATTATGTTTTGAAAATATTTCCCCGGAATATAACACTACAACGTCGCGCCAATTAAACCCAATCTCTCGCTTCCGAGAATCCCCGAAATGTGGTTACGTCGACTTGCATCAACAAATTTTTCGCCGTTTTATAAATGAAGCGCATTTTTATTCCCATAAGAATCCACGGCTTCACAAACGGCCGCTCATTTATCAAACGAATTAAACGATTTAATAAGAACACCGCGCCACATCCTACCTCCGAAGACATATTTTATGCCTTTCGTTTAATGATTGACTTAATAAGGCTTATTTAAAGTCGGCAATAATAATCAATCATTGTTATTATCATGAGCTCGTTACGCTGAAACGCTAAAAAGTGCAAATTGTGGCTTTGGATTTTTGTGTGCGTTTGGAGTAATTGCTTGTCGGTGTGATTGACAAGGTAGTAGCGTAATTGTGAGTTAATTACACTCGTGTTTTAATTAGCGTTACATGCTGGGTGGTATTTGTCGAAAAAATCCGTGTGAATGTGTGGCGGAGTGCTTTTGTGCTCTTTATTCAATTATGAAATACTCGAGAATAGAAAAATAACGGTCGCAGTGAAATTCTTGCAAGTATGCACACATATCTGGAAGCGCGCAGCGCAGTTATGATATAAGTGGACAGAATTCTTTAACCGTGTTTCCATCTCAGTAGTAATTTTTGCATTGAAAACGTTAGAAGAATGTTAACGAGTGATTTTTTACGAGACGTCATCGCATTTATGGTCAGCCGAATTCCGGTGATCGTTTCAAGACCCACACGAGCTCTTCCCCGAACTGATAACTCCAGCCGCCCCAGAAAGCGGCGGCATTCCAGGAAACAGTTCAATCGATCAGTGGCGCAGATTCCCGTCCGACATCAACTATGTTGCCGATTTGGGGGGAAACGGCCGAAATTAATTATTAAACTCTCGTCACAATGACAAATCATTCCGGAATTAAATCGACTTCTCGGCGTCGCGTCCCCCGCCCGAGCCGCCCCTGCCAAACTGGACGATTACGTTTTTATTTCCTTTCGATCGGCGCCGTAAATCCATCGCCATCTTTCCCTTGATAATTTCATTTTATCCGAGTGGCAATTTTCGCTCAAACTGGAACACTTTCTCCTATTTCCTTCCGAGTAATTTTTTCAATTATGTCCCATACATAAGCGCGATAATCGATTCTCGCTCCCAGGACGATTCGCCGGAAAAGTCGGGAATCGCTGGAGTGAGTTTGGGGGCGCTTTGTTTCGGGGGGAGGGGGTTGATTAATCCGGATTTTCACGACGGTTACAATTCGCCGTTGGAAAATTACGTGTTAAGTCGATATACTTGAAAAAACGAACTATTATTATGATTATTATCTTGAGGCTACTAAATACCTACGAAAAATCGTGGTAAGAAAGGCACCACACGGAAATGTTCCGCAACAAGACCGACTATTCAATCTAATGCTTTTCAAAGTTACGACTGTTTATTACTATTATTAGAAGAAAAACTACATTTCCTCATTATGCGAATACAATTATTCAAACTAAAAGACGGCTCGTTCTGTATCGTTAACTCGAATATGACCATCTTATATCACCTGTGAATAACTAGAATTAGCATTTGAGTCGTGGGTACGACTGCCGAGAGTAGTGTTAATCAAGCTTAATCAATTCCCACCTTGAAAAAAATACTGTTGTAGGTAAAAGTAACCTAATATTTCACTGCAGCAAATCAACTCGTTTGCATAAAACAAGATTTTGTTTTCTCCATTATTAACTTTGATTGCACTTTAATTTTGCTTTCCAGTCGTGAACTCTCTGGTATCGCACACCTTATACTTTGTACACATTTTTAGCCGCTTACAGTCACTAATTATACGGAGTTTCTGATAACGCCGAACTAATACCACAATTACACGGAAAACTGCTGTAACTAAGTGGTTTTTTCATTGTTCCTGATACATAATTTGCTTGGAAAAAACAAGTGGAACTAGCAGTTTTATCAGTTTGGTTTTTACGTTGACCGGACTAAAACTGAAAAATATGTCATCAGTACTGCTAAATATACTTATTCTGTATTTCAGTTAGCTGTAGCTTGATCGCGTTAAAACTGAACAAATAAAACATGTTCTAATCGAACATTGATACTGAAAAAGAACAATTTCAAGATTTAATCAAATTAAATTACGAAAAATTCTAGCTTTTTCGTCTATGAACCGGTTAGACCTGGTTTGACCAGACACATTTGACGTGATCAAATTGACCTGACCTGATCGGAAAAACCTGACTTGACCAGATAGATATGATTTCAGAGACAGACTCAATTTAAAAAGATAGACCTGAATTGACCAAACAGAACTAACTTGACCAGACAAATTTATCCTGACAAACCCAACCTGACCTGACTTAATTTAACTAATTCAAACTAATAATCCATCTATAGATCTTGTTGGATGTAAATTAAAACTTGGTTTTCAATCTCTCTCGGTTTTTGTAATATATTTTCCTTGTACTCCGTCTTTTGACGGTTTAAATGCTGTTTGTGATTTCTTTGAGGAAGAGTTAGTGAGTCTTAATAACATAATTCTAATAGGTGACTTCAATATTCCAAATTTTAATGACATCATCCCTAATAAAACAATTCTTCGTCTACAGACATTTGCACATTTTTTAAATTTAAATCAAATAAATAATATTTTCAATTCTAATAATAAATTGTTAGATTTAGCATTTTTGAATATTCAATGGGAAGTTAGCCACTTTGATAATCCAATGGTAATAGAAGACAAGTATCACCCAGCACTATCTTTAGTTTGCACCTTCTCAGTTGATAAACCGATTAATTTTCCACGCCATGGTAATGATAACCATAATATAAGTGCCTTTAACTTTCGTAAAGCTGACTTCATCTCTCTTTACAATGATATCCTATTAACTGATTGGTCATTATTATCAACTCTTTCTTCTGTAGATCTGATGGTTGATTGTTTTTATAATATCCTGTTCAATTTATTCCGTAAACATGTACCTGTCTTTCGGTCAAAAAAGCGGCATTACCCGCCATGGTTCAATAGGGAAATAATAAATAATATTAAATTTAAATTCCGATACCTTAAGAAATACAGAGCTTCAGGTCTACATTCTTATTTACTGAAATTTAAAGAAATTAGGTCCCTTTTAAAGAAGCAAATAAATACTGCTTATAAATTGTATATTAACAACATTCAAATTAACATACATCATGATCCTAAGCAATTCTGGGGTTACATTAATGCTAAAAAAGGTAAAACTAGAATTCCAGGCCAAATGTCATTTGGTATAAACAAGTTTGAAAATCCTATGGAAATAGTAAATGCCTTTAGTGATTTCTTTAGATCCACCTATACTGAATCTGATCCGCTTGATGAATATTATTTAGCTGATACTGTAAATTCTACCTCATGTGTTGTAAATATATTTAAGATCACGGAAGATGATATAATAAAAGCCATCACAAGATTGAAACCAGGTATGACATCAGGTTCAGATCAGATTCCAAGTTTCATAATTAAGGACTGTAAGTTTCAAATTGCTAAGCCACTCCTACTAATTTTTAATAAATCCCTTGAAACAGGAGTTTTTCCTAATAAATGGAAAGAATCTAAGATCTGTCCTGTCTGAAGTCCGGTGATGCATCTAAAATTGAAAATTATAGACCAATCTCCCTGCTTTCTAATTTTGCTAAAATTTTTGAATTAATCCTATATTCCCATATCTACCCCGAAGTGAAAAATTATATATCAAAGTATCAGCATGGTTTTTTAAATTATAGATCAACAACAACTAACCTCATAATGTTCTCACAATTTGTATCTGAAAGTTTGGAAAATCAATCACAAGTCGATGTCATCTATACGGATTTTACAAAGGCATTTGATCGTATTGACCACAATATTCTTCTTAAAAAACTTGTAAATTTTGGTTTCACTTGTAAATTATTAAACCTTTTTCGATCCTATCTTACTCTCCGTACTCAATTTGTGCAGTATAACAACTTTGTATCTTATTCTTTTATTGCTAGCTCAGGAGTTCCTCAAGGATCTATATTAGGGCCACTTCTCTTTAATTTATACATAAATGATCTACCTTCCAGCATACACTGTTCAATTTTGTTATTTGCAGATGACGCGAAAATATTTCATAATATTAACTCATTAGCAGATGCTATCTTTCTTCAAAAAAACTTAACCAGGCTCTATGAGTGGTGCATCAGCAATAAATTTAAATTGAGCCTTCCTAAATGCAAAATTATTTCATTTACTCGAAAAAACAACATTATTACTTATGATTATGAAATAGATCAAAGCATACTCCCGCGATATAACACTGTTAAAGACTTAGGTATATACTTTGATAAGGCTTTTCGATTTGATCAACATTATTTTAATATTATTTCATCCTGTAATCGGACGCTGGGTTTTATTATACGTAATAGTAAATCTTTCTATAATACTGACTGCCTCGTCGCCTTATACAGAACACTTATTTTGAGCAAGCTTGAATATGCTTCTATTGTGTGGTATTCTATATATCAAACCTACAATGTCATAATTGAAAACATCCAACGTAAATTCCTAAAAT